CCTCAGCCTCCCAAGTAGCTGGGACTACAGGCACCCGCCACAATGCCCGGCTATTTTTTGGTTGCAGCCGTCATTGTTGTTTGGTGGGTCCGGGCTGGGGATTCGAACCCGCCACCTTAGGTGTACGTGGCTGGCGCCTTAGCCGGTTGAGCTATAGGCGCCGAGCCTGATTGAATAAGTAGAGGATTATTTTTTATTTTCAAGGTGAAAGCTGCTGGAAAGAAACTAAGTTCTTTTTCAATTTTCTTTCCTACAGTGGTAGAGCTTTGTGTTCGGTATGGACAGAATGAGGAGGGAATGGTAAGCGAACTCATAGCCTTCTGCACCAGCATCAGTAAAATTGACCTTACCTCAGAGATCCTGAACTCTTTTGAGCATGAGGTAAGAACAGAATGTAAGCAAACTGGGGCAGCACTGGTGGCTCAGTGAGTAGGGCACAGGCCCCATATACCAAGGGTGGTAGGTTCGAACCCAGCCCCAGCCAAACTGCAACAAAAATTAGCCAGGCGTTGTGGCAGGTGCCTGTAGTCCCAGCTACTCAGGAGGCTGAGGCAAGAGAATGGCCTAAGCCTAAGAGCTGGAGGTTGCTGTGAGCTGTGATGCTACAGCACTCTATCGGGGTGACAAAGTGAGACTCTGTCTCAACAAAAAAAAAGAATGTAAGCAAACTAATGATATGGTTTGTTTCTAATCTGTAGGGGAGGCATTGTGATATATTGAGAAGCGTATGGGCTTTTAGAATCCAGGCCCTGTGTGAACTTTTGTTGTTCCTAAGCTTTAGTTTCCTCTTCAGTCTTTGGTTTTAATAATCTGTATTTTTTGTAATTATTATTAAGAATTAAATGAGAATGGATGTAAAGCACCTAAAACTGTACCCAGCAGGTAGTAGGTCTTCACCAAATGCTTGGCCTTATTAATTTGTTAATTGTTGTAGATAGTCATGGGATAAATCTTTTCTTCTTTTTTTTTTTGAGTCTCACTTTGTTGCCCTCGGTAGAGTGCTGTGGTTTCACAGCTCACAGCCTCAGACTTTTGGGCTTAAGCGATTCTCTTGCCTCAGCCTCCCAAGTAGCTGGGACTACAGGTGCCTACCACAATGCCCAGCTATTTTTTTTGTTGCAGTTGTTTAGCTGGCTCAGGCCAGTTTTGAACCTGCCACCATTGGTGTATATGGCTAGTGCCATAATCACTGTGCTATAGACACCGAGCCTATGTGCATCTTCTTAATTCTTTTTTTTTTTTTCTTTTCAAGACAGAGCCTCACTCTATTGCCCAGGCTAGAGTGTCACAGCATCAGCCTAGCTCACAGCAACCTCAAATTCCTGGGTTAAGTGATCCTCCTACCTCAGCCCCCTGAGTAGCTGGGACTACAGGGGCCCACCACAACACCAGCTAATTTTTCTATTTTTAGGAGAGATGGGATCTCTCACTCTTGCTCAGGGTGGTCTTGAGCTCCTGAACTCACGTGATCCTCCTGCCTCAGTCTTCCAGAGTGCTAGAATTACAGGCATGAGCCACCATGCCTGGCCACCTTCTTAATTCTTACTTTGAGGAATTTTATATCTTTGGCTATGTATATATATTTTTTTCTTTTTCCTTTTTAATCACCCTCAGTACAGTGCTGTGGCATCACAGCTCACAGCAACCTCTAACTCCTGGGTTTAGGTGATTCTCTTGCCTCCTGAGTAGCTGGAACTACAGGTGCCTGCCGCAACACCCGGCTATTTTTTGAGGCAGATTGGCCAGGGCTGGGTTCAAACCCGCCCTTGGTATACCCTCAGTATATGGGGCTGGTGCCCTACCCACTGAACCACAGGCACTGCCCTCTTTGGTTATATTTTTAACACCTGTTATTCACTCAAGGCTGTGGGAAATGGCCTTCCCTATTACTTGACTATGGAATAATAATTTACTATCTTTTATTCCTCAGTTTCTGAGCAAAAGATTGTCCAAGGCTCGGCACAGTGCCTCCAAGGACAGTGGACACGCAGGAGCTAGAGACATTATTTCTATACAAGAATTGTATCCTTTTCTGCTTGAAGGTCTTTGTACCAAGCCACATACTCTTTATCTACAGTAGCATGTATAATTTTAAAACAAATAATAAAAATCACCTAATATTTAGATTTCTTATTTCATCAGCCCTTGCCTTAGGTAAAAGTTTATTATTGTTTTTCTTAACCAATGTTTTTAGAATTGAAGTGGAGGAAGAAGAAGAAACCCTCTTGAACTCTTATACCACACCCTCTAAGGTAAATATATAGTGTTTAGAGATTGCATTCTACCCATAGCATTTTTTATTTATTTATTTAATTATTTTTTGAGACAGAGTCTCACTTTGGCACTCTTGGTAGAGTGCTGTGGCATCATAGTTCACAGCAACCTCAACTCTTGGGCTCAAGTGATTCTCTTGCCTCAGCCTCCTAAGTAGTTGGGACTGCACATGCCCATCGCAATGCTCAGCTATTTTTAGAGGCAGAGTCTCGTTCTGGCTCAGGCTGATCTTGAGCCTGTGAGCTCAGGCAATCTACCTTCCTCGGCTTCTCAGAGTGCTGGGATTACAGGCATGAGCCACTGCACCCAGCCCCATATCATTTTTTAAAAACATTATCACCACATTTGAATATCTGAAGGAAAAATATCAACCACTTTCATACAGTTCCTACTGTATTTCCATATACACATCTTCTTTTCTGATCATATGCTTAAATGTTTTACATAATGGCAATCTTTGTGAATGTATAGTTTATCTTGCTTTTTTCAGTTAGCTTATCATAAATATTTCTATAAATACAATTTCTTCATAATTTCCCCCTTAAATAGTTGCATAGTTTTGTATTATAATTGAATAATCTAGTCCTGTGATATTGGTCCCCAGTTTGAGATGCTAAGTTGAGTATTGGAAAAACGTTCCTTTTAAAGTCGATGAGTTAGAGGAGGTTGATGGCCTTGGATTAGTTGTTTAATTTCTCTAAGCTGCAGTTTCCTTACCTACAAAGTCAGGATTCATTTATTCAGTTAGGCACCAACCACTATGTGCCAAGCACTGCACTAGACACTGGGTAAACAGTGGTAAATGAAATAGGCATGGATGGGCTCTGCTCTCAAGAAACTGACAGCCAGGGGATAAGATCTACCATCTTGGAGGGCCTGAAGAAGAAATGAATAGTTAAAGTACCAGGCCCTAACCAGTGTGTTCAGGTAATTGTAATTATTCCTTTTTTTTTTTTTTTTTTTGAGACGGAGCCTCAAGCTATCCCCCTGGGTAGAGTGCCATGGCATCACAGCTCACAGCAACCTCCAACTCCCGGGCTCAAGTGAGTCTCCTGCCTCAGCCTCCCAAGTAGCTGGGATTATAGGTGCCCGCCACGATGCCTGGCTATTTTTTGGTTGCAGCCATCATTGTTGTTTGACAGGCCTGGGCTGGGGATTCGAACCCGCCACCTTAGGTGAATGTGGCTGGCGCCTTAGCCGCTTGAGCCACAGGCGCCAAGCCAATTATTCCTTATACTAAATAAATGTGTGGAAATTTATAGACATGGAATAAATCTTTATTTTTCTTTTTCTTTTTCTTTTTTTTTTTTTGGAGATAGAGTCTCATTATGTCACCCTGGGTTAAAGTGCTGTGGCAACACAGCTCACAGCAGCCTCCAACTCTTGGGCTTTAAGCGAGTCTCTTGTGTCAGCCTCCCAAGTAGCTAGGGCTATAGGTGCTTGCCATAGCACCTGGCTATTTTTTGGTTATAATTGTCATTGGTGTTTGGCAGGCCTGGGCTGGATTTGAACCCACCAGCTCCAATGTATATGGCTGGCACCCTAGTCGCTGAGCTTCAGGTGCTGAGCTGCTAAATCTTAATTTTTCAAAGTAAATTGCATCATAAGAAAGAAGGTAAGTAGTTTGTGTAAGTCCATGGGAAGCAAGAAAGCCAAAGTTGTGTTCTATAAAGTTGTGTACAGAAAACCAGCTGCCTATCATATTAAAGGAAATAAAGTTGTTTTTTTTCCTCTTAATATATATATATATATATATTTTTTTTTTTTTGTAGTTATTTTTTTCCTTTTGGCCAGGGCTGGGTTTGAACCCGCCACCTCCAGCATATGGGGCCGATGCCCTACTCCTTTGAGCCACAGGCACTGCCCAAATATATGTATTTTTGAGGCATTGTTTTACTCTATTCCCTGGTCTAGAGTGCAGTGGTGTCATCATATCCCACTGCAACCTCAAACACCTGGGCTCAAGTGATCCTCCTGCCTCAGCCTCTCAGGTAGTTGGGACTACAGGCACATATCACTACACAGAGCTGATTTTTCTATTTTTCCTAGAGATGGGATCTCTCTGTGTTGTTTGGGCTGGTTTTGAACTCCTAGCCTCCCACCTCAGCCTCCCTAAGTTCTGGGATTATAGGCATATAGCCACAGCATTTGACCAGGACAGTTTTCTTAAGAGTTTGTCAGGATTAGAGAGACTGGCTTGGCGCCTATGGCTCAAGTGGCTGAGGCGCCAGCCACATACACCTACCCACCCACCTGGTGGGTTCGAATCCAGCCCTGGCTGCCAAACAACAATGATGGCTACAACCAAAAAAAAAAAATAGCCAGGTGTTGTGGCGGGTGCCTGTGGTGGGCGCCTGTGGTCCCAGCTACTTGGGAGGCTGAGGCAGGAGACTTGCTTGAGCCCAGGAGTTGGAGGTTGCTGTGAGCTGTGGTTCCATGCCATGGCATTCTGCCCAGGGGGATAGCTTGAGGCTCTGTCTCAAAAAAAAAGATTAGAGAGACAAACTCCACTCTTAATTTTCTCCCTAAAGTGGTCTTCTCAGAGTTCACATCCCAGTGAAGGACACTTCTTTTCTCCCATTTGCTCAGGCATAGAAGCTTGGAAACCTCTTTGAATCTTTTTTTTTTT